AAAAGAATGAATTTTGGGCCTCACTTGAGTTTGAGTAGGATGGGCCTTGAGCCTTCTTTCTGCCCTGCATGTGGCCTAGAAAAGTTGACCCCTTCCCGAGTGGGCTTGTGAAAATTCCACCCATGAGGCCCAGCCCAAGCGAAAGGGCCACCCCTCACCCCCTTTAAAAGAAAGGTCACGTGACCTGTAATTGAAATTCAAATGCCTCATATCCCTCATCTTATCCGGATAGGCGTAATCCCCTGGTGTGGTTGCATGCCAACAAACGTGCCCCCTCTGCTTTGCCTCTGGAATCACACGTTGGTTGTGCGTGAAGCTCACGTCTTCTACTACCCTGAGCATCTTCCAGCGCAGCCCCTTTCCACCTCTTCTCTGCAACCTCAACCATTCCTCTTCCAAAAGGACGGTACTCTCATCCCTTCCGTCAAGGCCCGCCGTTATGGGAACAAGATCTGGAAACCTCTCAACTGCCATAGACACTCTGTTGCAGAGCCGTTCATCATTCACCAGAATCCATTCTGGGACGACGCCATCATCGGCAACATAAATAATAACCTTGCTTGCATCATTCTTTTCATCTGCCCCCCCCCCCCCCCCCCCCCCCCCCCCCAAAACAAGTGTTGCCAATCGCTTGAAAAAGAGCATACGACCACAGATGCAACGGTAAAGCAAAGACCATCACTCTCTTCTCCTTCTTTTCCTTGAGACTTCCGCAACACCCAACACGTAAGGGCCACACGTCCAGTCAGAACTCAGCATCTCCCCAAGTATGTTTGCCTTCCCTCAACACCCTTATTGCCTCAGCATGAGAAGACAGTCTGAGCAGCAAAAGAGAATCCGGTAACGGGGGGATCGCCACACCTGCAGAAACCTTCCAAAGCCCTCGAAGCCCAATCTCCCATTTTCGCAGTTCTTATGGAATTTAGTTATGATTTATTTATGGCTGCGAAATTGGAATTAGATTGGGATCGCAATTTCATGGTATTATAATCCTCTACCAATTCAATTCCAAATCCCTTGTTTGTATAAACTTTGGAATTCAAGTGTAATTGAATTTCAATTCCAATTTTATTGTTTTGGATATCATCATTGATTTGGAATTGAATTAAACAATGTAAATAGATATGTATATAAGTATATGTATAAAAAATTATATAGACACATATACAATATATAAGACAAATTTAACCATCACCCGAAATTTTTTGGTTGCATTTTCCTTTCCTACAGCTTGAAGTCCATGTCCCAGAATTAAAACTATGAAAATTTGGTAATGCAAATTAATTCAGTAGCTGTATTTTGATAAAATTACAATCACTTTCAGTCTTTTTCAAAAGGGTATAATATTACCAAAAAAATTAAATAGTACAATGAAAACTTTCTCAATGACAAATCATTAATCTCTCAGATCTCTCTTTTTCTCTGATCTTGTGGATGGCCACATTACAAAATTACAGTTTTAAAAATTTATATATATATTATATATATATATATATGTATATATATGTAGCTAAAGCACACTTCCATTGAAGATCAAAAGAACAGGAGGCAACTCTGACCCTATATATATATGTAGCTAAAGCACCCTTTCATTGAAGATCAATAGAATAGGAGGCAATTCTGACCCATGTTGTGGCACATCAACACAATATTCAAACCTTTCATACCACAACTTTGGTATCATTGCTATCAAATTTTCATTGTGATCAAACACTACATCAAAAATTTTGCATTACCCTTCTTTATCTCTTTTTTTATATTTTTTAATGTCAAATAATCCTGCGCACGCACACACACACACACACACACACACATAGATATATATAAACATATATATATAAACACACATATATATACACACACACGAGAACGAGACACTAAATGTTACAGTTGAAATTTTCATTTACCTAGTACGTTTTGACATTGCATGAGTGGTGGGGGTTGAGTGAGCGAGGTGTTGTGTTGGGTTTGTTTTGGTATTGGAAATCTTTGGTTAAATCGTAGGATTCAAATTGCCGATTTGGAATGTTTGTGATTACAATGCAATCCCAATCCCGAATTGATTTGTCATATCCACATATTGGATTTGGAATTGGGACTCCTAATCCCAATTCCAAAGCTCCAATACAGTGCCGCCAAACATACCCTATGGGTATTAAGTGTCACGACCCAAATTTTCTAATAAAATGCTCTGATACCAACTTTGTCATGACCCGAAAATTCTAATAAAATGCTCTGATACCATTTTGTCCAAAAATCAAAACCAATTAAAATATCAATTGGGTAAATCTCAAATTTAAAATTAAATACTCAATCTTGACAATTAAAAATCATGAGATAAATATAAATTAAAATTCTGAAAAATCCGGGTTGTCACATTCTCTACCACTTAAAGAGAATTTCGTCCTCGAAATTCGAATCCGACAGTCTTTGCATAACCGAAAACACCAATAACCACAAAACCAAATCTATAAATCCTTACCCCAGGCGATGTGAAATACCGTGATATGTAGGACGTTATGGTAGCTGCCAGTGCTAGTCACCCGCCCACACACTCCATAACCGTTGTGGTAGCTAGTCAATGCGTCACCCGCCCACTAAAAAAAACAAACAATGGGCACAAAGAACTCACAATTCCCAATCCCTCCTCGGACCATATCTTAAACTGTCCTGCTCATCAGCACTAATCATCACATCATAACACCTTTATTGTTACTCATTTCAGACAATAGTTCAAACCTATCATCCCACCGAATCATCAAGCCACTACCAAGCGATTTTCCTCCAACATCCTTAAGATAACACCATCACAACAAAAGAATAACCATCACTCTCGATACTCCCCCACAACGGCCACTATTTACCATTGGAAAAGAATCTCCATACGGCAATGCCATGCCGGCAAATCCCAAAAGGAAAAATGGGCACAAAGACTAGAATGCTCAATACCCAACAGACTCCTCAAAATCATTTACAACAAAATTAGTCACCAACACTTAACCGATTACTCAAACCACTCTCCCCAAGGCAATCTACGCACCTAATCAAAATAACTTCACGCTCTAAGTTCAACATCTTTATCTCTCTTCCTCACCGTTCCTTAGAACACCCTTGGCCCCCGACAAAAGTCAAATGGGGCTACCAGCTAAACCTACGGGATCACCCTCATCCCAATCATTCCAATCAACATTCTATTTCTTTGAATCCTTAAACAACTAGCACTTCAATAACCTCATACTACTTGCCTTATCGTGTAACCCTGTACAATACAGCGAAAACTGACCACAATACTCACCTCGAGACTCTCTCGACAACCGTGACAACCTATAACCTCGCTCATTCACCGAGATATGCAATCAACTCACCGAGAGTCAATTACCCACAGCACGCTCTTGTAGATATCCAAAATGAGGATCACCCCTTGACAAACCAGTTTCTAGAACAAACTCTTACAACCCACGAACTGAATCACATCAAACAGTCAATTACCCAACACTGGCATGGCTCCAGTCAATGCCTGCGCCATCCTAGACTTACAAAGTCCAACAAAACCCCTCAACAATCAGAACCACCACACTTCCGTGGACCATACAAGAATACCCGAAAAACACGTCTACCACCGATAGACTACACTAATGATTCTTGCAACCTCTATCACACCTATCACAAATCGGTTCGAAAAGAACCACCGTACCAAACCGTAACTCATGTCACAAATACCAACTTCCTAAGGTCATACCTTTCTCCCTCGAAACCCTCACCCGCACACTTGACTTCCACGGTCACAGGAACCCACGCACTAACACAAGAAACTCAAACGTCTTACCCTGGACATCGTATTGTGCCATACGCAATCGTTCGAAAGTTGTACCCCAAGCACTACGCCCCAAAAACAATGGGAAAATTGAAGCAACCATGTACCGAATAGCTCGATCCACGAGCTAAAGACCCACGCCATTCGTTCGATAAAAACCGACACCCAAACAACCCTGGAGCAACCGAGCTCTTCGCCTACTTAGGTCAAAACTCACACAACTAGCTATGCCGCAACAAGTACTCTACTATACTAGTAACCATCACATGCTCGACCACATACTTTTATACCCGCATACTTATGCATATAATAACTGAAACATATACCTTGACACAACCGTGTCCTATCCCATCAATTTAAACGACGAGTCCATTAAATCATTATGTGAAAAATAAACATCCTGTTCATCATTGTCATTTTTTCGCAATTACATGTTTTCAATTATTTATACATTTCATCGTCATTGCCATATAACACGCATTTTAACAATTATCCACGTAAGCATGTGAACACTTAGCAAATAAGTATGTCTTTTAAAACCGTAAATGTATAAGCAATTAAGTAAATAAGCATGCTTCTCAAATAACAAACACTTTAACACAAAAAAACATAAACGATGCAATCTACCTTCCATACAGCCCTAGGTATGCCTTTACCCGTCGTCCTATTAGTTTTCGAACCATGGCTCTAATACTATTTTGTCACGACCCAAATTTTTTAATAAAATGCTCTGAAACTAACTTTATCATGACCCTAAAATTCTAATAAAATGCTCTGATATCATTTTGTCCAAAAATCAAAACCAATTAAAATGTCAATTGGGTAAATCTCAAATTTAAAATTAAATACTCAATCTTGACAACTAAAAATCATGAGATAAATATACATTGAAATCTTAAAAAATCCGGGTTGTCACATTAAGAATCTAAATGCTCGCCCTATATGTTCGTCAAATGTTACTTTTCATTGAACCATCTTTGTTTTGTTGGTATGGACTTCAAGTTTATATTTCAATCGTAAAGTTGTTCCTGATTATGTGCATGTAAAAGAATCGAAATTGATTTACTCATATGGATGATTTAGGCATTAGGGTTCGGGCATTGTGTTTTACTATTATGTTTGTTACTAATTATGGTTGTTTGGTGGATAATCTTGTTGGAATACTGCTTTGTTATCTTGTGAATAGCCCTTCCAGGTGTTCTGTGGGTTTTACCTGATTCTTATCTTGATGTGCCTAACCAAGATTATGGAGGTGCGTACTATTAGAAGTTGGATTCAAATAATAGATTAACTAATATTGGCTTTCAATTGCTTTAGTGGTTTATAGCCTATGTTTTAGTGTTATATCTTTTATTTTTATTTGATTTTCAGGGGATCTGTTTATCGATGGGAAAGTCATCCATAGGCCTCAGTATAGGTATGATGACAGGCAACAACAAAGGAACAGGCCTCGTCCACGTTATGATAGACGCCGGGAGACGATGCAGGTTGAAAGGAGAGAGCCAATTCGAAGAGAACCTGTGCAGCAACCAACATCAGTGCATGGCCAGAATATGCCTGAGAGTGGCGGTGGAGGTCCCTCTCTGAATTAGGGAGGATTTCGCAGGACCAATTATTGAACATTTGTTAGTATCCTGCCAAATTTTAGACCGTAAATGATCAAATTATGCTTTTAGCTGTTGCATTTTGTCATATGATGGATAACACCGATGGTTTGATTTAGTAATAAAACTTTGGGCGTGGTAGATACTTAAAAGTTTTATTGGCTAGATGATCATAATTCATGACTGCCTTCGGACCAGGCAGTGAATAGAATCGGAAGTTGTTTTCATTGTAAATTATTTTTTCCTTTTGAAATCTTCGAACCAGGCAGTGAATAGACATGATTCATGATTTTCCGTTTCTGGTGCGTTTTTTTTTAAACTTTACACAAGAACTACGTATTGTCGTTATGGAATTAATAGAACAGCACATTTTGCATTGTGGGTTTGTTCTGCCTTCAATGCCTTTTGGTCTAGAAATATTGGACTCCAATTGTGGTTATGTTACGTTAATATGATTTTGCTCTAGTTCCATGCTCATAACAACATTTCATGTTTCTGCTCCTTGTATTCCATGCTCATAACAACATTCTGTGTCTGATTCTTCTATCTGTCTCTTTACCAATGCATTGTTAGATCATGTTGACCGAATTATCTGAACATTCAGTTACTAGAGCTTGCCAAGAATTAAATTAGTTTTTCATCTACGCTGCCTGCCATAGTTGAATTGTCTTAGTGGGAAAAAGGGGCTGTAGGGGCTGGCATTTGTTACTTGACAGTGTGAAGAATATCTTTGTTGGTAGTAGTGTCTTAACAATGAAATTGGGAATTAAGGAAGATTCTTTGTTTTGTGGCATGTGAAATTTGCCCCCTTTTTTTTCCCTTTAATTGTTGGACTAGTGAAAATGTGCTATTTGCAGAGTGATTAATAGATGTTGCAAGACATTTAGGCATATGATATAACCGAATACATCAAACTAGGGTTACATAAAACAGCAGATCAGGAATTATTTGGGTTCAGATGACATATATGGAGAGTTGAGATGATTTTGATTGGATTGGAGCCTGGAGAGGTATTGAGGAAATCATTTTGACTAAGAACTTGATTGGATTGATTTCAACTTTTTCTGGTTTTCTTGTAGGGCTGCAACTCCGGCGTGCTAACCCAGCCCAATCTAACCCCAACTCAGAAATTTTAAAATTGGGGCTTAAAATTCACAAATCGGGTTCATATTCGGGTTGGGTTTTGTCAAAATCCAGACATATTCGGGTTGGATTCGGCTCAACCCGAACCAACCCAATAATCCAAAATAAAAAATAAATTTTTTTATTTTATTTTTTTTCCTCCTATCTCTCTCCTCTCTCTTTTTCTTTTTTTTTTTCTCTCTCTCTACCGCCATCACCGTCCCTCGTCCTCAGCCGCTGATCGACTGTCGCCGTCATCACTTCCAAAAATTAAAACAAAACCCGTACATATAAGTTAGCTGTTGCACATAGAGAGAGAGAGAGAGAGAGCGGCTGAAGCTTGCGAACGGCAAACCCGAACTGGAGCAGCGGGCGATGGAAACTGAAAGATATGGGTTTTGATTTTTTGAACAATCTGAAATGATATGCCGATATGGGGTTTTCATATAGGTAATAGGTTTTCAACTTTTAATTCTTGTAGACAGATAGATAAACTGAAATATATGGGTTTTGAACTTTTGATTCTTGTTGATCTTGTAGTTTGTAATTGTAGAGAGAGAGAGAGAGAGAGAGGGGCAATTTTTGAGTTGAGAACGAGAATAGAGATGGAGGCGATTGGGGAGGTTGAAATGATTTGCCCTAAAAATATATATATATATTTTTAATAATAATATAATCAAATATATATAATATATATAATATACATATATATATAAATTTCCGGGCAAAAAAAAAAAAGCTTAACCCGCCAACCTGACCCAACCTGCTCGAAAATATTCGGTCCGGGTTATGACCACAACTCATGTTGGGTACAATTCAAGTTGGCCCAACCCAACCCGATTCGGGTTAAGGTTGGGTTGAAGCTGGGTTGGGCCAGCCCAACTTGCAGCCCTATTTTCTTGTGAGGGACGAAGCATAAGAGTTAAATGAATAACCCTCGGATTCTCAACTTGTGATGCAACATTGAATGAAATGGATCTCGATTCCTTGATTCCAGTATCTAGATTTGTTAGTTGGCTACAACCAGAAAATGTACAATATCTGGGAGGTAGTGGTTATTCGTTATTGAATACCCCTGGTGGCCAAACGAGAAAGACTTTATTGCGCCCGAGAAAAACTTTATTGCGCTCGACTGTTCATGTAATACATATGTCCACAAGTGTATTACACATGCCGTGTATGAACGGTTGAATGCGCTCGTAGCACGGTGCAACAAAGTGTTTCTCTCAGCTAACCCCTACTCTCGGGATACCCAATTACTTCTTAGCTACGAGAAAAGCTTTATTTTGCACATCCAACCATTCATTATTGATGCGTGTTATACACGCGTGGGCATGTATATTACACGAATGGTCCGGATGTGCTCGTTGCACAGTGCAACGGGAACAATGAAGTTTTTCTCCTCGGCTACAACTATTTTAGTACCAATTGAGATGGGGATTTTCCACAGTAGGTTATGTGAAATCACGGAATGAGTGAAGACCTAAATCTTGTTGCATCCATGTTTGGAACGAAGGTTGTCTCGGCTTATTCTGCTTTCAAGATAGACATCTGATTAGAATGGATTGGAAAATGATTGGTTGTCCGAGCGTCAGACACATTTGATTTTTTTTTTTTTATGTAAGTGTGTTCGTCTTTCAAACTCTATATCACAGCTCGAATGGATTTACCATTGTCCGTTGACCCTTTTGTGAAGTTACATTAGAAATTGTGAAGCTACATCAGAAACGTAAAACCCTAACCTATTCACCAAATAGCTACGTCAGAAACGTAAAACCCTAACCCTATTCACCAATTTTTTTTCACTCCAAGTTTCATGGCAGTGGCAGGGCAATTGCTGTAGTTGAAGTGATTGTAAAAGTCACGTCTACATGGAAGTTTACATTCAATTTAGACATTTTGGTTCCTTTGGTTTGGCTAAAATATTATCCTTGGAAAATATTTTTCTTTCTCAAGTAAACTATATATATATTTCCTTATTTTTTGATGTTTGGTAAAGATTTAGGTCGACATTGAGGTCGAGTCCATTGGGTGAATTTACGATAACCAAACATAAAAAAATAAAAAAATATTTTCTAAAAACTATTTTACGTCTAAACAAGCCGAGCCTTTATGTCTTAGAAGTATATGTTTGTAAGTAATAACGTCTCCCTCTACTTTCTGTCTCTAGTTTGTACCTTATCTTCTTCAATACAAGTTCTTATTTTGTTTCTGAACTGTTCTTTGTTATGTCTCTAGTTCCTTAGCTCTAATTTGATGTTTTGAATAATACACAAAATCTATAATCTGCAATTTAGGCCAGGCCGTGCCGTTACTTGCAATAGCATATTACTAATTTAATTTGTAATCTACCCTAAAAAATAATATTCAAAATGAAGACCAAGACCTCATCACAGATGTATCTCCAGAAGAAATAATTGTATTACTGAGATCATAGTCAACAGAACCAAACTTGTCATCAACTCTTCTATTTGTCCTCCTTAACCGGCTTTCATTTTTGGTCACTATTATTCTTATGAAGTAGGAATTATAAGAGTCGATCTCCAAAACTGTTTCAATCTCTCATACCTTTTGTCATGAGAGAGTTCACGTGATAACATTATTCATCTAAGTTTCACAAATATGATATTGACAAACTTATCATTTGTGATGGAACAAAATCTATCGCGCATTTATTATGAATTTCATGAATGAATTTTTTTTAATTTTTTATTTATTTATTTTCCTCTCTCGACATTGTTGATGTTTATAAAATGAGATAAATAATAAACTTAATTCTATTATAAGAAGTCATTCATACGGTCAATTATTATTATGATTATTATTTTCACATCATTATGTATCTAACTCATTTTATTTCTTCTTTGTTTCTTTGATAAATTGAAATATTGGAGAAAATTAAATACAACTGTCCGTTTATATGTAAGTTAAGATGTTTAGCAAAGAATAAAATTAGATCCCACCTACAGTGTGTGTTTGAGTCTGTGTCATTCTATAGTAGATAGAGAGAATGGTGATAATTTCATTTCAAAATATCTGGTGTAACTTTTAGTGAAGAAAATATTTTTCTTTTTCAAACCACAATTTGATTGTGGTTTCATGTTTTCTGTTTTTATCTTGTAAGTTACTTCTTGTGCTTTTTGAAATTAATACTGTATTCTTTAACAATTTGATTAGTTTGTCGTGCCTGTCATGCTTAATTATGTAATTATAATTACAATTGATTTCAAAAAATGCTAATATTAATAATTTTTCTTATAAAAAATTATTTTTTTAATAAATTTATTGAAAGTAAGCAATAGATTATTGAAATCTTTCCCAAGTTTCATTTTCTGAGTGTGAAAAATTAGATGATTTAACACGTTGATTAGGTAATAAAACAATTCTGAACTCAATTAATTCTTTTACATGTATTTTTACCCTAAAATTAACCTTTTCTAAAACTATCTAATTCTTTATTTTTTACCTTCTTACTCTCCTCCTTCATCATCAAATTCTTTTTGATTCTGTTCTTAAAAAAAAAAAAAAAATTCGAGTTTAATTTTTAATTAGATGTCATTAGTTTCACTCCTTTTTAATTCTTTTTTTCATCCCATGCTTAACGGCGTCAGAGATTAAAAGATTCCATGTTCGCTGCATTTTTTTCGAAATAGTATTGCATCCCCCATTCTATTCTTACGAAGTATTTCAATTTTTTTAATATAAAATATGAAATAGGTAGTTCGTTAATTTTTTTTTTTATTATTTTTTATTTTGGAAAGTTAAGCAAATAAAACCAAAATTTGTAAGAAAAAGTAGTTGGTTAAATTCAATCTGAAGATAGGGTGCAGCCATATAAGTAAATATTGCTAAGGTGAGTTGAAAATTTTCAAAACACTTAGAGATCTCCAACCATTGTGTATATGTATATATATTTTTTTGTGTAAATCTGATGTGTCATAATAGATTTATATAAAAAATTTAAATTATTTATTTTTAGTTCTAACGGTTGTTTTATAACTTTTATGTAAAAATACCAACTAGTGTCATGTTAAGACCCCACATAATTTTTACAGTATTTTACACATTGGCGATGTGACAGTTGGAGATAAAAAAAAAATTTATACAGTATATATTTTACATAAAATAGTATTTTAACAGCCGGCTAGAAATGTTTTTATTTATTATTTGTTAAGATATTATTTTTAGTAAATATATGAATAAAGACGTTAACATATTGCTGTAAGTGCTCTTATTTATTGTGTGTCAAGGTAT